TTGTGGGGGGGGGGGGGGTCTTGCGAGGGTAAATAAAAAACTGCTGTTTCAGTACGTTTTGTATAGTATTTTCCTTTTGCCTTTTCCCCGTCAGCTTTGAGTTTGCATCTCTGCTTGTGCTCAGTGCAGTATGTAAGAGTGTTTTCTCCTCCCTGCGCAGTCGTCTGGTGTGTCCGGAGCTGTGCCGCGTGTGAAGAGCCGAGGCATCCTGCGCTCAGCCAGCGGTAAGGTCCCTGCGGGAGCCAGTCAGCCAGGCCGCCCCAGCCTGCGCAAGGCCGAGAGCACGCGGTCCAAGGTCTTGCCCCGAGCCGGCCTGTCTGCGCAGAGCAAAGCCTCGTCAGCGTCTCTGTCGGAGCATCTGGACTCGTCCTCAGGCCTGCCCCGCGCCAGCAGCGTCATCTCCACCGCCGAGGGCTCCGTGCGCCGCACCAGCATCCACGAGCTGCTCTCCAAGGACAGCCGGCAGCCCGTGCTGGTGGACCCCGCGCCCTCCCGCTCCCAGAGTGAGTACAGCGACCCAGCCCTGCACAAGTCTGCTAGCATGCCCTGCCGTGTACAGGAGCCCGAGCTGTCCAGCCTGCAGGCCTTTCTAGGTCCCTCCTTCACCGTAGACTCCATCTTTCTGGACTCCATCTTTAGCGAGCCAGCGGTGACGGGTGGTGCTAGAAACCAGGCCATCCTGTCCCTCAACACATCTCTCGTTAGTAGCATTAGCGGCCCTCCCCATAAGGCCAAGCGCTCAGACGAGCCCGAGGAGGACGGCCAGTCGCTGTGGTACGAGTACGGCTGCGTGTGACCCCTGACCCCCGCCTGCATGAGTCTGCTCTGTGTTATGTCTTTGTAGCGACGCTCATGTGATTCTTCTGTTGGACTGAACCTCCATCACTCTTATATTAACTGATGCTGTCTGCTGTGTGTGTAACCGCTGATCCACTTTCATATTTATGAACACGAGGTCCCATGATGCTCCTCTGATTGTTTTATTGAAATGACACGGTGTGGCTGTTTCCCCGATGGTGTTTGTGTGCATGCCTGTGGTCTGGTGTGGGTTGTGTTGTGTTGGCGTGTGATGTGAGCCGTAGCCTGTATGAACACACCACTCTGCAGGTCAAACTCTGCTGATCCAGCGCCCATCGTGTTTGATGCATGCTGTGTGTCCACATAACGTCCTTCAGGACACTGATTCTTCTGTAATGTGCCGTTGAAGTGTGGCTTGCTTTCGTTCTGCAGATGTGGAAGTGTTTCAGGAAAACAGGAAGACTAAGAGCAGAGGTGGAGCTCAGAGTTTGTCCTGAATTCACACGGTGAGTGTCACCATCCTCCTCAGGAAACTCTTGAACCTTCGAGAATCCTCTTTGTCCACCTCCAGCCCAAAGTACAGGGAGCCCGATGCATTCCTCACTGTACGATAATCCATACCTAGCGTTAAAGGGGTCATGACATGGATTTTTTTATTATTTTAATATGTTCCTTGAGGTTTAGTTATAACATTGATAAAGTTTTTGAATATAAACTTCATAAATATGTGGAAAAATGATTATTTTCAACCGTCATTCTGAACTTCTCTGTAAAACAGCCTGTTTTTAAGGGGCGTGTCCTATAAGGCTTGTTATGATTGGCTAATGTCACTGCATAGTAAACACTATCAATGCCCCCTCGCTATTGTGAGTGTTTTGACAACATAATCAAAATAAAACGTCATTTCCAGACAAAGCATTAGGAAATCATTTACTTACGGTTTGTGATGCAGCTGCAGTCAGAGGTAGTGCCGCTTCATCTTTCAACAAATGTTTCTTTGTGACACTGTGCCTCGATTACAAAACAAAACGCTCCGATCAATCCTCAGACACGATCCGGGGTGCATTAAAAATAAACTATCCGCTCGTTCCTTACATTCGGATCCTTCTGATATCTGTACAAACTGTTTAAACCAAACGCGTCCAAGCGAACGTTCTTTCTCTGCATTTGTCCAGACGACAGACTCCAGCGGGGGACTGTGTCCGAAAGTGAACCGCATCTGTGTACTGTATCCAGTGTAGACAGTGATCCTGATTTCTATTTGCTTTTGACGCGACGCGACACTCACATTCAAGCGTGATCAAGTGTTAGCCATTAGCGGCTGAACACCAGTGGGTGGGGCCTATGTCGACGCGTCGCTCTGGGGGCGGAGTTTATGCAAACAACTGCGCCCAGCTGACGTCACCTTGCCCCTCAGATCCAAAACGAGCCGTCTTCTTATTACTTAAATGATTTTTATTGATGATGAGGACATTTTAAGCTGTGAAACTTGCCGGATGTATTAAGCATACAAAGACCTCTTCTGTGTCAAAAGATCAAGGGAAATTTGATTTCTCATGTCACGACCTCTTTAAACAGCATCATCAGAAATATTTTCACATTGAATCTCCAAATTAAAGGCAGGGAAGGGGATTTGGTTCAGAAACATTTTGTTATTGCTGGTTGAAAGTCTCTTCACATCCCGATAGCAATCACTAAGTGCTCTAAATGTATTTATATGTATTTATATTGTCTGTGGAAGGCGTAGGACCATAAAATGTTAAAACAATATTCACATAATCCCATTACATTTGTCATATTTAGCGGTTTTTATATACAGTAGTTTGTTTGGTGTTTCTGTCTCAGTTAATATCTTCTCCCTCTGCTTGAATGAGAGTGATCTGATCAATTTTCCTCGCTTTATTTTGCTCATTCATGTTCACGATAAATATGTAATAAAATGTCTAGTTAAAACATTTGATATCAATATTGTTTTTATGAGAATCGGTCTGCTATTGCAAGTATTCATAGTTGTTTTCGTGCTCACCGGGCTGCGTTACTGATACTGCTTTTCCACTCGAAATCTCAACACTTGTTTGAATGTGTTCTATGGAAATGGAAATGGATTTTTGTATGAATCTGTCCAGTGACCAAATGAACCAAACAAAACAATCCAGAAGTTCTTTTCTTCATACCATCACATTCAAAGAAAAGGCCAGTATGAAAAGGAAAGATTGATTTTTTTCCATATCATTCAGGGTTCCCACTGTCCTCTGAGAACCTGTTCAAATTGCTTTAGAAATGATATTCTGAAGAAAACATTTTCACACAAATATAATAAATATGTGCAGTCAGAGGCTTGCAGGACATTCTAGAAGGCTTTCACAAACCACAGCCTTGTTTTTGCTCTGAAACACAAGACGAGGTTGTGGAATTTGGGGGAAAAACATCTCTTTTTTTTAAAAGTCGTAATGTATTTTCAGAAAGTTTTGGAATATTTTTCGGCTCCCCAAATTTGTCACTACCGAAACATAATAACATAATTTAATAAGAAGGGCTATATTGATCTATTAGGATTTTGCTTAAATCTATCTTGTAAATCTATTTTTGGCTATTTTATTAAAAAGTTTTTAGAGGTAAATCAATAACAATTAAAATTTTAACAATATTCAAGTGTGATTTATGAGATTTGTTGTATTTTGAATCCAGTCTTTCTTTGTAAAAGGCATAAAGTCGATCATACTGATTTCAAAGTTAAGGATTCATTAGTTTGAATATGCATTGAACCAAAAACTATCATAACATCTTTAGCACTATTCGGACGGGACTAGTTTTCTAAACTAGTTTTGAGTTTCGATTCTTATCACCTAACGTCTGCGATTCTCATGTAGGCCTAACATCTGCATGTTTATTACAGAGGTCTGCAGAGATCACGACTGATTACCATAACCACAGGTTTACTACAGATACCATGGTGAAGCTACATGGCTAGCATAGCAAAAATTAAGCGTTAGCGTTAATTCTGGCAGGTCACGTGAGTCAAGCTTGCGTCAGGGACTTGGCTTTCTGATATTCCTTGCTAATCAGACTCCTTTATCTTGAATAAAGTGTTACACTTAAATATCATTAAGTACATTAATGATATCTGCCTTGTTCTGTTCTGTTAACCCTAGGGGGGTTATTATTGCTGCTCTCCCTGCTCATTCATGACAGGCTGCATGGATGGGCAGGCAGGTTTTTGCCCAGAACAGAACCATACCGCCAAACCAAACTTTATGCTACGTATCTATCATTTTGACGATAGTGGTCCTGACAGAACCATGGTTAATGTAATTAGTGTAACTATTTATTTTGTTTATTTGTAGTAAAACCATGTGTAATTTTCATAAAGGTACATGTAATTAAAACATCATGTAATTGAGTGCAGAAATGAAGGTGAGTAACGTTAATCTTACCTGACGCTGATATTACAGTAGCCAGTCTTAACAGTTTGCGTGATCTGGCTCTTGATTTCATTATTGTTCTTTTTTTAAATTTCTTAAATCAAAAAGAGGTAAGAGCGTCTACGGTAGTTCACGCTGGCCAAAACGCAAAATAATCTTCGGCAATCACAGACATTCGCATTCGGACGGGATTAGTTTTCTCAGAGGATCGCTGAGTTTGCTGAAAAACAGTAGGTAATTTGCTCTGGGATTATTACAGAGGTTTTGTGAGAAAAATACAGATTTAGCAGATTCGGACAGGATTAAAATCACTGAGTAGGTCTGTGAAACACACATTTCTCTAACGACCCCCTGTAAAACTAGTCCCGTCAGATTAGGGCTTTTAGCTGATAATTCAGTATACTTTATTTTTGACAAAACCTCCCATGTTTCGGTAGTGACAGTAATCCCTTACCAAAAAGTAGTATACTTCAAGTTTATTTTATTAAACTTCTTTTTCGTAAGGGATGCTTTGGTAGCGGCCACATCACATTACAGAATTTTAACTTGCATACTAAAACACTACTAAAACACTATATTACTAAAAAAAATTGTATAACTGTACTAAAATGTAGTTTATTTCCCCGAAATAAAGGATTATGTGTTCCTTTTTGTCACTACCAAAACAACGATGACATGTTTCAGTCGTGACTGTTTCGGTAGTGACAACTTTAAATACTTTTTGTTTTTTGTTATGGAATAACTCCCAAAAAGGTGTGTTTAATTGCAGAAAAAAAGTGTTAGGTAGTGACCTTCCTTAAAGTTACACACAGATTTTTCAGACTTTTGAACACATTAACCTCAACATGATGAGAGCTGTAGCTATGAGAGAGAGAGTTTCCCAGTCATTAATTTAGGCGTGTAGTTAAAATCAGTCTCGGCCAATGGTCTAAAACATACACTGTTTCGGTAGTGACATGAAAATTCAGGGAACATTTTTTTTACATAAAGTTTCATAATTTACCAAAAAAATATACAATAAATATTTATTTATTTATTTGAACTTTTTTATATACACTGCTCAAAAAAATGAAAGGAACACTTTGAAAACACATCAGTTCTCAGTGGGGAAAAATATCATGCTGGATATCTATACTGAAATGTGTTAGGAACGAAAGGATGCCACATCGTTTGATGGAAATGAAAATGATCAACCTACAGAGGGCTGAATCCAAACACACCCCGAAAATCAAAGTGAAAAAATGTTGCAACAGGCTAGTTCATGTTACTGAAATTGGACTGAAAGTGGCCTGCTGGAGGTTGTTCTGTAGGGCTCTGGCAGTGCTCATCCTGTTCCTCCTTGCACAAAGGCCCTTCCAGCTCTCCTAGAGTAACTGCCTGCCTCCTGGAATCTCCTCCATGCTCTTGAGACTGTGCTGGGAGACACAGCACACCTTCTGGCAATGGCACATATTGATGTGCCATCCTGGAGGAGTTGGACTGCCTGTGCAACCTCTGTTGGGTCCAGGTCGCCTCATGCTTAGGGTGGCCATATGTGCCATTTATACGGGACACGTCCTGGCCAGGATTTTTATATTGCCTAAAACATCCGAAGTAGTTTGACCAATAACATGCAGGTATTGTACATAATCGACCAATCGTGGCGGGTGAGAAGGTGAAATCTACAGAGAACGATCAAAGCGATGCAAAATGTTAGGTGTGTTTGTTCGTTCGTTCAACTTGAAGTGGTGCTGTGCACCGATCATTGTATGACACCAAAGTACTGCGAGAGCGATTCGAAAGCATAAGGAGCCGTCTCTCTCTATAGCTCATCAATGTCATACAACAATCAATTTGCACAGTGCAAACAGCCAAAACCTGGATATTTTAGGCAATATAGAAATCCTGGCAAGGACGCGTCCCGTAAAAATGGCTCGTATGGCCACCCTACTCATGCTACCAGTAGTGACACTGACCCTAGCCAAATGCAAAACTAGTGTAAATCAGTCAGAAAAGAGGAGAAATCAGACAGAACAGGGGCTAAAGGAACTCTGTTTTGAGAATCAATCACTTTTTGAGTTTTTAAAAAAAGCTCTAAATGTGTAGAATGTCATTTCACACAGTTTGAATCATGCTGACATGTTCAAGTGAGTTTCTGGGACAGTTTGGCTTTATTTTTCTACAGTGCTGTCAATCTTTTCTCACAGTCCACTGAACGCTCTGAAAGGCCGAAACCGCTCCAGATGGGTGGGGCTTTAGCTCTAACCCCGCCCCCAACTGAACCCCACTAACCTGAGCGTCTCCGCCTACTCGTGCTGTAAGCTCCTCCCATTAGGAGGTCTCTGGGCTTGGAGACCAGTGTGGATGAAGTCGTGTAAAGTGCAGTATATGTGAGACAGATGATGTCAGGCAAATTAACAGCCCACTCATTCACCTGAAAATGATCATTTGATTATTCATTTACGCCCTCGTGTCATTCCAAACCTGGTTCATCTTCAAATTAATTAAAGATACTTTGAGGATTGTCTCGTGGCTTTTTGTTGTTTTTGGTTACATTTTATTTTAAGGTGTCCGTGTTATACAAAATTAATATTTACTGCGTAATATTAGTGTCAGACTCTGTTCCTGTGTTTTGGTCCCCATGTGTTTCCATGCCTATATTTGGTCCTTCCCGTTCCTGTCCTTATCATTTGTTCCAGGTGTTCCCCTTTAGTTCTATTGATCCCAGGTGTGTCTCCTCATGTCATGTGTATAAATAGTGTTCCCTGTTCGTAGTTCGGCGTCCGGTATTGTATATGTCAACCTCTCCTGCTACGTTCCCTTGTGTTGGATGAATAAAGTCTCCTTGCTGATGTACTCCACGTCTCCTCGTCCCTCGTTCCTCGCTCCGCGCTCCCTCACAGTAGCGAACGAGACGGTTAGTTAACTACATGTATTTTGAGAGCATGTAGTTATGGTTAGGGTTTGGCTTAGGGTTACTTGCATGTAATTATGCATAATTAATTGTAATTATAGTATTAAGTACATGTAACATACGTAACAAGGACACCTTTAAATAAAGTGTTACCTTGTTTTTTTCTCATCGGGATCCTGTGCTGTTTGGTTCCCAATGCTCTCAAAATCTCTCTCATGTTATGTTCTGCAGAAGAAGTAAAGTCACAGAGGTTTGATTGACGTGTGTAGGGTCAGTAAACCATGGCATTGATCATATTCAAGTGAACAGTCATTACGTCCACGTCCACAACACGTCCATCAAGTCCACGAGACCGCGGGGTGTCCCATTCACAGCGTTGGGAAGGTTACTTTGGAAATGCAATAGGTTACAGATTACAAGTTACCCTATCTAAAATGTAACAAGCAGTGTAACTACTTCAGTTACTTTAATGTAACTGATTACATTTGATTACTTTCTGCTTACTTTTCCAAATTTCTAGTGAACGTTTTCAACTGTTAACCATTTTCAAACATTTAAAGCAGGCAGGGTTAACCTTACAATAGTCTTCTTGATGAACTCTTCATCACTTGAATTAAGATTATAACAATTTAATTTTAAAGCACATCCACCACAAAATCAGACTTTAGCAGCTCTTTTTGCTTTGTGATCGTTCTGAGGTTAAATGTAGGTTTAAAACCATAACAAGAAATAGTTTAATAGCTATGATACTGGTTATTAAATAAAAGCTTTGCATAGCTATAACAGAAAACTATGCCTTGGAAAAAACAGTTAATCTTAAAAAATAAAGCATATACATAAACCCAAATAAAACAGTTATTGAATGATCATGTGTCCTATTCTGTGTCTGAAACTCCTGAAACATTGGTGTCTCATATTTTAGAGCAGTCGATGCAGTTTATGAAAGAAATCAATCATATCTGTATGTGTGTGATCAAATATTCAGATGTAACTCCCTGTGTAATCCTTAACATTTCCATAAGTAACTGTAATTTAATTACACATTTTTTCTGGTTACACTGTATTGTAAGGTGTCCTTGTTACAGTGTAATTATACATTTAAGTATGTAACTCCCTTTGTAATCATTCACATTTTCATAAGTAACTAATTTAATTACACATTTTTTTCTCAGTAACTGTAACAGATTACGGTTACATTTATTTTGTAATTAAATTACATAATTCCGTTACATGTAACTGGTTACTCCCCAACACTGTGCATTGGTCACTTTAGCTTTCAGATGAGTGAGACGAGCTCCGCGCCAGACTTCTACCTGACAGCCAAACTGGCATCACGTCACCAAAGTGTGGACTCCGAGGAAGACCACCAGGGTTTAGTTCAGGTGATGTGAGGGTCAGAGAGAGAGCAGATACTGCAGTGAGAGCAGGGCGGGTCTGATGATCTCATGATCTGATGATCTGATGACCTCATGATCTGATGATCTGATGTTCTGATGATCTCATGATCTGATGTTCTGATGATCTCGTGATCTGATGATCTGATGACCTCATGATCTGATGTTTTGATGTTCTGATGATCTCATGATCTGATGTTCTGATGACCTCATGATCTGATGTTCTGATGTTCTGATGATCTGATGACCTCATGATCTGATGTTCTGATGATCTGATGATCTCATGATGTGATGTTCTGATGTTCTGATGATCTCATGATCTGATGATCTGATGATCTGATCTCATGATCTGATGTTCTGCTGATGATCTGATCTCATGACCTGATGTTCTGATGATCTGATGATCTGATCTCATGACCTGATGTTCTGATGATCTGATGATCTCATGATCTGATGTTCTGATGATCTGATGTTCAGTCAGACCAGATCCAATCAAACACAGCTGGAGCGGTTCTGTAAATGACTGGAAGGTGTGGAGTGGATTCAGACTGAACTCTGCAGCTCTGCGTCAGTGTCTGTGTCTTGCTGTCATCAGAGCTGACGTAATCAAACCTGTCTCAGGTTCTGCTGAACTCGAGACTAATCTGATCATGCTGATGGA